TCAAACTAACAAACTGACAAATATGTCAAAATTGCTGCAATACATTGTTAGAAGCCTTTAAACATGGAAGCGTCCAGTGTTTTGTAAACACTGTCAGTGATGAAAATCCTCTCTACTATCGTGCAGGAGCCAGTTTCAGAAGGACCGGTTCCTTGGGTCAGTAAAAGCAGTGTAACGTTTGTGGCAGAGCAAGTGTCTCATCATCCTCCAAGTAAGTTGACAATAACTTTGCTAACTGAGATGGCAGCTGGCTAGGAGTGACAGTAAAGTCAGCTCTTGGATTAAATCTTGGATTTACATTTTCTCTCCAAATTTAAAAGCTGAAGGTTTTCTCTATAAACTGTGTTCTTGTGAGAAACAAATTGCAAACTCTGTTGCCATGTAAGTATGAAGCACTTCGAAATATTTCCTGATGAATGAATTTGGAAACAATAGTATTAATGTCTTGTGCTGCTATTTTTAATACCTTTTTCTTCAGTTTCAGCATTTTACGCAGAGTGTTTTAGCAAGAGGATACAGTTCAATGCTCACATATGGACCAAGTCAAAATTCTTAGGAATGTCTATTGGGGTTCATAACATAGGGCAAGGTATGTGTGTGTAAATTTAACAATAGAAGATAAATTTACATTCTGCAACTAGGATTTTTGCGGAAATTATTTAAAGTCATCCTATTAAACATAAGGACTGTTTGATTTTTATGTAATATTTGCTTATGTACGTAGGAATCGGTGATTCCTGCACACTTTCTTTGCTGAAATCATTCAGGGCCCAGTTTTTCACGTAAACACAACTCTCCCTGCCTTCTCTAGAAGCTAGGCATTCTCCGCATCTAAATAAAGCTCTTCACCTTTCCTTTTTATGGTGCCTGTTTTTAGTGAATTCTTTCAGGAGATCGTTATGAAAAGTTTTGTAGAGGTTTTGCTGGAGGTTTTTAAAATCTGGTTTTATTTTTCTTTCACAGGATGTGTCACATGCCTAGATTATGATGAACACTATATTTTGACCTTTCCTAACGGTTATGGAAGGCAAGTAAATGCTCTCTTTGGTATTTTCGTTTTTAATGCCTTGTAATATTTTATGCTTAATATTTATCAGTTAAAAGGTTATAAATATATGTATATATGTTTATAATTGCAGGTCTATTCTCACTGTGCCATGGATAGAACTTGGTGGAGAATGCAGTATTAATTGCTCAAAGACAGGTTATAATGCTTCCATCGTATTCCACACAAAACCATTTTATGGAGGAAAGAAGCACAGAATTACAGCTGAAATCTTGTAAGCAGGTTTCTTCAGTTAATCTCACTTTACTTAAATGCTGACTGTTTGTTTTGGTTTTGTGGTTTTGTTCCCCCCCCCCCCAAGAGTCAGGAGTGTAAAATACTGCAATAGCTACATGCAATAACTTAGCTCATGATTACCGGTCATGGGCCGCCATTTTTATAGCCAAGATTTGTGAGAGGAAACCTGCATAGGCCTGCATCCTACCTTGTCCTGCTCTAAAACATTCTCAGCTGTGGACCAAAAGGAATTTAAATTTTCACTCCTGAATTATCTGAAATTTCTTCATCATTATTTCTCCTAAAAATAAAAATACTGAAGCAAGCCTTTTAATACCGCTGTCCATAGCGTGTCATTAAAGCTCTGCTGCAGACTTTTACATATTTATTTATACCTGTGGTTTGGTGGATTTTGGTTAGACCCTGTGCACGTGCCCAGAGCAGAGAATTCAGTGGAGATTCTCATCTTATTTGGAGATCTGCTGTAATGTCAGTAAGTGATGCTGGCAAAAGCAGATCCATAACTTGGTTTTAAATCACTTCTCGACACACATTGATAGATGTCATTTATGAACTAGTGTTTGTGTTTCCCAGTAGTCTGGGGAAGAAGCTTTGAGTTTGTGAAACCTTTTTAAGCTTAAACTCATCACTCTAAATCTGTTTCAAAAGCCTGTAACTAGTTGCCTAAACTCTCAATGCAGATACAGCCCTAAGGCAAGACCTGTCTTATGCTGGAACAGCGCTCCCTTTAAGGTTTATCCATTTGAACTAATTCATGCAAAACTTCTCACTTGTAAACAGAACCCTCAGCTTTTCTGTATTGCTGATGGACATTTTAAAGGCTGACATAAAACAGACTGTAAAGCGACTAGGATAAAGTTTTGATCCTTTCGGGTCTTTCAGTTACTGTAATACAACTGAGAAATTACTGTTTCTTTCTATTTAGTTCTCCTAATGACAAGAAACCCTTCTGCTCAGTTGAAGGAGAATGGAATGGTGTCATGTACGCAAAATACACAACAGGGGTAAAGCAGCTTTTTTCCTTTTTTTTTTTTTTTTTTGTTTTGCCTTTTCATCAGAATTGGAAGATTGTGCTTAAAAAGTTCTTTGGGGGGTGGTGGTGGTGTTTTGAAACAAATATTAATAGTTGGGAGCTCCTGTGAAGCTACCCAAAAGATCACAAGAATACTGAATTTGGGATAAATTAACAAAGTAAATTCAGGACTTTTATTCTTAAGGTAACTTGATTTTTATAGCAAGAGGAGAATCTAAAGAATGATGGTTTTCCATGTCTTTCCTGACAACCAGTGTACTAGAGTGTGAGAGTATATAAATTTTAAGTCTAATAAAGAACTGTTTTGTTGTTGGTTTTTTTTTTTTAAATCTCGCTCTCTAGGAGAATGCTGTCTTTATAGATACCAAGAAAATGCCTACAATTAAGAAGAAGGTAAGGAAATTGGAGGACCAAGACGACTTTGAGTCTCGCTGGTAAGAACTTCAGTTAAATGGGCAAATTAAGACTTTTTTTTAGTTAGACTCAAGTTTGCAGTACACAGTCTGACTAATGGTACACTTCACTGGCACTGCATGGACAAACTGTGCTCTTCATTAGCCTTTGCTGCAGGGCAGAGCCAAGGCACAAGCAGGCTGGGGTCTTAAGGGGGAAGAGGAGACCTGTAGTTCTCGGTCACATCCTCATCGGGACCAAATGTTCCAGGGAGGTCGGGAGAGCCTCACTACAGCCTCCTCACTGCTGGCAATAGATAGTGCAGTTGTGGTTTAATATATATTGGGTTTTTTCTGCCCTTTTGATAAAGTGAGACCTACCTTAATTCAAACAAATATCGATGACTAATAGCCAGTAATATGTTTCTACAACCTTGTAGCACTTTGCTTCCATAAAGCAGTCTCCATTCAAATTTCTTTTTTAAGCTTATGGAAAGATGTAACCTACAACTTAAAAATCAGAGACATCGATGCAGCCACAGCTGCAAAGCACGCGCTTGAAGAAAGACAAAGAGCTGAAGCCAGAGCCAGAAAAGAGAACGAGACCTCATGGGAAACAAGGGTGAGCTTTATTTGAACAGTGTAAATGCCCTCTAACCCGTAGCATTTGTTCCTTTCCAATTGAGTCATGAAAAGCTTACATCTGATTATTCCCTCTTTTCTAGTTATTCCATGAAGATGGAGAATGCTGGGTTTATGATGAGCCGCTATTGAAACGACTTGCTGCCAGTAAACATTAAGTGGGTTATAAAACCAGAAAACATTCAAGCCTTGGCTTAGCAAAGTTTACATCTGATACCAAGATAGTCATCAGTTATCACGTATGTACCATTTGGAGAACCCGACCCCTCCAACTACAGTGGTTCCTATCTCAGGGATACTGGACTTACTGATGCAGATAAGCAATTAAATGAAACAAGAAACGTCTTGGCTGTGCAGTAACGTATACTGGACTCTGCTATACTGACAGTGTATTCGGGCTTCAAAGGCAGGCTGTTGGAGCCCTGTTACTGATGCTTCTAAAGCATGGAGAATCTGGGCCACGAGGCATACACACTTTGTATAACCACTGTGAAGGCCATGGCATTGGTATCAGTTGCATCATATTCCTGGGTCCTACATATTTAAAAAACAAGAAGGAAAATGCAAGACGTCATTTAAATCTAGCTGATGTTTGCAATGTGTAAATATGAGGATTCCTTTGATGGGACAATTTGTTAGAAAATGCTACGTAAATGTTATCTTCCACCTGTATGATAATCAAATCTTTTGGCATTTCAGTGTCTTGCCCAAAATAACTTTGTTATTTTGAGATTAAAATGTAACCATAGATAATTCTACTCGATGCATCTTAAAGCTTCATAAAATAGATTTTTCAAACTTCTCTTATGGACTTTTTATTTATTTATTTCATAATAAACCTTTGCAGCATGACTGTTTTTTCAGCTCAGCGATGATCAATTGTTTTATGTGAAATATATTAGTAGTATTTTTTCCCCCCACTGGAATCGTTGCAGCTCCACCTACTTCTTAAAGTAGTTAATGAACTAGCAAAAGGAGCAGAATTTTTCTGGAATCTACATCCAGCCTTGCGCCTCTGCTAGCTCACCAGCACTTTAGGAATCACTGCATTTGCTTCAAGTTAAATAACGGTTGAGTAAGTAAGTAACTACATGTAGCAATCAAGCTGTTTTTCTTTCCACAGTTAAATCTAGCTTTTATTTGATTTCATCTCAATTTTGTCTATGTTATGTTGAACATACAGAAAAACTAAAAAAAGGCAGTGTGAGATTGAAGCCTTAGGCTTTTTTCCCCCCTCCCTCCCACTCCGTAACTCCTCCAGGAGAACTGGAGAATACCTTCTTTGAGGAGCTGTAACTGCTCCAGCGCTGCAGGAACGATGCACAAGACAGTCTGAACAAAAAGGCGCAAGGCTCCCCTTCAGACAGCTGGAGAGGAGAACGTGGCATCTTTCTTTCTGGTGGTGGGGGAAACTCACGCTCCCTTCGCTCCGGCTAGAAGCCAGGGCTGGCTGCGCCTATTCTTAACGAACGTGGGAGACTAATGAGAAAGGGTGGCTGGAAACTTACTTGAGGAAAGCGTCCTCAGTATCTGAACGGACGTCTTCATCCCAGCTACCACTACAGCCCTGTCTTAATAAAAATGGGTTTGTCATGTTTATGTTGCAGAAAGCACCTGTATTACACATCACTGCAGGGCACGATGTCAATTTTATTTTAATATTTTATGGTAAGGGAGAACATTCAGAGTTGATGTGTAGGCTTTGATGTCCTTGATGGAAGTAACATTAGTCATCAAAGAAGACGGGGGCAAGAAAATAAGATGAGGTATTTCACCGGATGAAGAATTCTGTGCTTCGGAGACAGCTGCAATCTCTGAGTCCCCTTCGTGTTTTCCATATCCAACCACCTGGAAAAAAGTTAGTTACCAAAAAAGAAGTTTGGCTCTACGCTTCTATCATTTGGATCTCATTCAATGTTCACCTGCCCTGACAATTAAATACAGATACTTAAGTGCAATTCAAACGACAATAAGAATTAGACGTCTAGCAAACATGAACAGTGATGTGGATAGCCACCGCATTAAAAGTTAGATTACAGAGCTCTTCTACCCCACCCTTCCTGGGCTCTCTGAGGTTACCAAAGTTTGGCATTTCACAAGTTGGCAACACGAAGCTGACACACACTCACGTGTACGCTGAGCACTTTCTTCCTGTTGCTTCTGTGAGCTTGGAACCAGGTGACCAGGTCTGATTTTGTAACAGACTTCAGAGCTTCAATCTGAAACCCACAGGAATGAGGTTTAAGTAGCACAGGGGTGATTCAAGTCATTTTAAACACAAAAATGGTTTCTCTACAAACTATATCCCATTAGCTAAAAGAACCTTTTTAAAATGGCATGTAGTTTTAGAACCAGTGTGTTACTAGTATTTATGCTTTGCATTTAAAAAGGCTGCAAAAAGGGACATGCGAGTGTTCCGTTTGGCATCACTTGACAACAACGAGGGACCACCAACCTCACGGGCCAGCCTGTCAAAGAGATACTGCTGCGTCACAACTTCATTCCAGTTCCTATCTACTTCTTCTCCAAGGTGGGAGTCTTCACATTCTTTAAGTTTTATCAAAGCTGTAACCTACATTCGAAAACAACACAACAATTACTTTCAAAGGGTTTAAAACTACCTTAATTTACCATCACATTCACTGAAGTTGAAAGAAAACCCAAGTTACATTAACAAGGTAGTTCATGGCTTTCAAACGTAACTGTAAATGGCCAGAGAGCAAGTGTTTAGAGAATGACTGCAGAACTGAGTAAGAGGCAGGATTTAAAAGCGAGTCCTTTGTCCAGAAAACCTCAGAAATATGTCAGATAGATGTAACCAAATCCTCCAGTTTAGGTGTCATTTAGCAGTTCAAGGAAGAGCTTTTCAAGATCAAGTTTTACCTGGGTGCTAAAAGCATCTTCAGTTAAATGCTTTATTTTCTCTTCAAAGCAAGCAAGAAACTCCTCTATTTTCTTGTCAACCAATTCAGAACTAAAAGAGAGTTAAATAATTAAATCAGGCAGGAAAAAGAAGAAAACCAATACCGAGGAGTAAAGTAGCAGAATAGCCCCCAAATGACAAGGGAATGTTTGGGACAGGCTCGCTTCCCTCCTCCCCTGAAAAGCTCACACATCTGTGAACACCATCTCTTCTATCTTCCCTAGCATCGGGGAAGAAAACCAGCGCTCTGATTTTTAGCTATATTAAGTATTGTTCAAACACAGGGACTTCAGATAACCAAGCAGCAGGAGGAGGCGCTGCTGTGATGCGGTCAGGGACCTAAGCTGTGGTATACCCAACGGCAGCGCGCGCTGCAGCGTGCTGTATCGGGAACCCCAGCTGCAGTCCTGAGCCCTGCACAGAGACAGTTACATTCTACCGGATTAAGACGAAAAGAAAGAAAAATAATGTGATGTGATGGATTGTGAAATTTCTGAAACATCAGAACCTTCACAGATGACACAGACCTCGCTAACAGAAGTGTCATCCAAATGTAAAAATCAGAGGCAGCAGTACTCTGTGCTAATTAAACTTCCACTGACACAGTATTATTTTTCATACGCCCCTTCAACTTTGGCAGGTCAAACACCTGAAGTTAGCCTCAGCTTTGAACAAAACTGTAATACTGTTCTGTCTGCTGAAACTGAGCCAGAAGAACAGGTATACGGGATTTACCCGGCAACGGCTTTAGCTCTCCTGGCAGAGTATCTTCAAAAGGGCAGTGGGATATTTTACTTAGTCTGTGGATTACTTTTCCCTATTCAAGTCAGGACTGCTGCAGTTTTAAGACGCTTAAGGCTATTGCTTTATTTAGGTGTGGTTTTTCAGTCACTATGTCGCAGCTGTCAGCAGTGTCACAAGCTGAGGCCATGACTACTCTTTCGATATGCCCTTTCGAATTCCCCTCATCAAATAAAACCCCACCCCTCCACAGCCTCAAACAGGTGTGAACTCTTAAATGAGAGCAGGCACACAGAAAACCTCAAACAAAAGCAAACTGAAGTCAGCTGTGACCTAACAGAACAAGTATAATATTAAGTGAAGCACTCTCAGTAATAATTCTCCAGCTGGATGTTGTGAATACACCACTTACACAAAATAAGACACGTAAACATGGTCACATAGTTACTTTGATACCTCACTATATCCCACGAGGCCCAGATGTTCAGTGCCTGAGTACATGCAAGGTCCACTGGCCACCTTGTTAAGCTTGACTTTTCTAAAACCAGTTGCCATAAGTTTCCTGTGCTGAAGTCCTCCTTGTTCAGACGACAGCACCAACAGCTGCCATTTACAGAGATGCTTTGCACAGCAAAATACAGCAAGGAACGGCCAAGCTGACTCCTCGAATCCCAGGCTGGCAGACCCACGAGACACCTCCTCGAGCAGAGGCGGTCTGCATCAGCCAGGCCCTGCTGCCTAGCCTCTGCCGGGAGGACGCGGTGGACGCAGTTCAGTAAGGTCACCAGAAATGGCTGCTGGCAGCTGAGGGGCGACTCCCGTGGCCCAAGCCTGGGAGCGGTGACAAACATTAACCACGGAGCACACACTTACTTGTATTTAGTTGCCTGGGTTGCTACTGTGACCGAGAAGCCAAGAATCCCAGAAGTATTCCTGCAGGTAGGATACACGTGGTAGCTTTAAAAAAAAAAAAAAGGGGGAGAAACAATAAAGTTATTTACCAGGCCCAACGGAGCACACACTTACTTGTATTTAGTTTGCCTGGGTTGCTACTGTGACCGAGAAGCCAAGAATCCCAGAAGTATTCCTGCAGGTAGGATACACGGGGTAGCTTTAAAAAAAAAAAAAAGGGGGAGAAACAATAAAGTTATTTCACACGCACAATTAAATTTTCATTTACAGGACACGCTACAAGTTAAAATAGCGTTGGTACTTTAGAAAGAAAAATCTCAGATATAAATTCTCAATAGCTGTCTTTCCTTTATTTCCTGCATCCCTGCACTTCAGAGTTTTCTCATTTTTAAGAAATCTTTTTAAGCTTGGCAGAGTATCTGTGTTTGTGTTCCTGCAAACTAATTCATCGGAGTGACAGACGTATAGCTGTGAAAAGCTTGTTCCAGTTTCCTGAGGTAGAAGGGTGCCTCTGAGGGAGGTTGCTACGCACCACAGAGCCGCTGTGAAAACAGCCCTGAGGAACGGGGGGCTGATTTAGGAAGTAGAAGGAACAACCTGATGCTGAGTAATTCTGAGTTAACACACTGGTAATAGATGCAATTCTTACAGGACTCCAAAGCAACTTGGCTGCAGCTTGTATCGATGCCTGCTCTTGGTTTTGATGTGTTTATGTTGCTGTTTCCATTACAATAATTCAGGAATTAGGCACTGTGCTGGAAGGGTTTCCAGAGTAAAAATACCAGGGAACAGCAAAAGCAGGTGCGTAGGAGCTATCCTCTACAGTGAACTCACCCAAGGGTCTGCTTGGTTCTCAGGAAGTCAAAGCAAGGCTCTTCCATGTGCATCTGAAACAGAGCACAAGTAGTGCGTTACAGCAGAAGTGATGCTCCTCTGCAGCCACCCCTCGGGGTCCACACAGAAACGTGATCACAACACGTGAAAACAACTGAAGTGCTGCCTTTCCAACTACACCCACTGAATTAAGAGAGGTCTCAGTCTTCTGGGTCGGCAGCTGAGAACAGTCTTCCGTGCTGTCCATCACTGCAGCAGTTTGGGGATCCTGTCCCAAACACTCAGAAGTTTAAGCAGAATGAGCAATAGATAAATGCCGTCCCCTTTGTACCATTTAGCCCCATGGCCTTATCTTAGCTCCAAGCACTGTTTTCAGAGAAGACACTTCGATGAGTTAGGAGACACAAACACTAACTTACCACAAGCAGCTCCATAAGGGTATATTCCCTTAGGTTCCTGGCACCTGACTGGAAAGAAAATGAAGAATTTAGGGTGATTTCGTGGACTTAAATGCTATAGTTCAGACCAAGGTGACAGCTGTGGCACACACCTCAGCCTGGACTGCAGCACTAAATTACAGTTCACAGCAGGGACAGCTGGAAAGTTCTTGTTTTCCATAGGGGCCTCAATATGGCCTTCCGAAGAGAGGTGAGGGGCTCAGCCCAGGACCATGAGATCAGTGGTGAGGACACCAGGAAATCGCCAAGGCACAAACCCAGCTACTAGCACAGGCCAGGAGGGGAAGATACCGGTTTCAGGGAACACCGCATACTGTGAAAGCCCACCTGGGTTTAGCCTCTTAGGCCAAGGGCATGTGCTTACACGAGGTTTCAGCGCACTCTCTGCAACATCCCTGTCCAGAGACTGCTCTCAAGGCTGTGACATCAGTACAACCGTAGGATCAGCAGCCACCAGAGGGAATAGACCAGTACACACCAAGCTAATGCGTTACCTGGTAATAGACTGTCACTTCAGAGTTGGCATCACCTTTGTTGAGAGTTTTCACCTTACAGAGCAGATGCGTATTTGGCAAATCCACCACCCGGAACTGAACAGGGCAGGGATGGGCCAGAGGAGCGAACTGGAGCTTTCTGAAGGGAGCACAGACAGCAGAGAGTCAAACACCCGCTCACATCTTAGCCAAAACCAGTACAACACCCAGGCATTTACACACTTGGTCTGACATTATTTTCCCTTTCCCCAAACCAGAACAACGTCCTGCTTGAACTGCCATGATGAACGGTCACCTCCTGCAAACACCGGCAGCACTGTAACCAGGAGGGGAGAAGGGAATTTCTGCATCGCTCCCACCCTGGCCCCTTCCTCCAGAAAAGAATCTTAACTTGATTATAGTTTCCACATAATGAGTGGTGCAAGAGTCAAGAGATACTCACTGAACGACGTAATTCAGAAAATCCTTTGCTTCCTAGGAGAGAAAGCATAAACATAAGTTTTATTTAGAAGAGAATTATTACCCCAATTCACAACCACACACCACAGTGCATTGCTTGAGAAAGTGACCCCCCCGAGCAAAGAACAGCCGAGGTCTGTCGTGCCACCTACGTCCCTGCCCCCTCGCCTTATCCCAAGTGCCTCCGGACACCTCTGCAGCAAGCTGCAAAGCAAAGAGTCTCCAGGCAGTTTCTTGCACTGTAACTTCTCCAGAAGGAGAATGCAGAAGCCAGAGAAATAGCGTCAGCCATCACAACATCAAAGGGCGCACATAGGAGGAGATAAGGCCCCTCTCTTGTGCATGAAGTTGGAGCTCTAGGAAGGAGACTCTTGGGCTTAAGTGGAAGAAATGGGAGGAAGTAAGAGAAGCAGTAGAACTGGTGTAGGAGTTACAGGGTTGCACGTGCCACACTGTGAAAGAAGCTTAGCTCACAGAGGCTGCAGCAATAAAAGCATTTTGAATGAAGGGTCTTAGCAAATCATGATTAGGTTCTCAGACCTCCTGTTCCACAGCTCTGGAGGGGACAGCTGACATACTGACCTCCCAAAGGACATTAGCACGTTTTTTTAGGAGGCTTTGAACAGTTTGAGGACAACCATCATCAGCTAAGACAAACTTCTTGGCACAAATCATAATTGCAGGAGGTTTCTCTCCCACGCCACACACAGGCACCCAATGACGCTGGATACATGGAGCTAAGCCCCGTAACAACCCTATTTTAAAAAGCCTGACAGGACTATGTGTGGCCTAGTCCCAGGGTAGAAGACGTTGATGGATACTACAGGTGTTTAACACGACTGAAGATGACTGGACCTCAGTGAGGTTTGACCAAACCATGCAGGCAATCAAATTTCCAGGACAAATGTACTTTGAGAGAAGCCTCCTCCTGTGGCACCACCATGGCAATTTCTCAATATCAAATATATCAATACAGCAAGCAATACAAAAAACGGGGGTAGCAGGGGCAACAGGCTACAGGCGTACTTCCGCCACACTGTCCCTTCTCTGCAGGTGAAATCCAAGTTCCCGAAAAAAACCTCTCTGTTCTAATCGGCAACTATGGACTCCCCAGTGGCTTATCCAGACGAGCATTCCTGAGTTGTTAGAGATGAAGCTGCCCTGGACCAGCAAGCCTCCAGATTGCCAGTACAGAAGAGGCAGTCAGCTGGCAGGTGAGTGCTGGAGTTGGGGCAACTGTATTAAAGCACATTTTAAGAACAAGTTTCAGTGCGTGTCAGCTGCTGAAGCTGTACTTACTCTGCTCGTGAAGTTTCCTTGTACGAGACCCTCTACAAAGAGCTGTGATTTGAAAGCCTTAACAAAGGACAAGAGAGACTCAATGGAAAGGCCGTTCATCAGCGTCTGGTATTTATCTATCATGGACCACCTGCCATGTTCTAAAATCAGGAGACGCACATCCCTGTAATGCAAGAAGGAAAACAAAACCACAGGCCGTCAAGAGCCGTTTAATGTAAGAGACCCCATTTCTGACTCTGGATCATACTGGAGACAGGAAGATGGTCCCCAGGAGCATTGCTGAGGGCTGATCCTGCCCTCCCTCAGCACCTGCTGTTGGCTACAGGTCGCTTCAGAACGGTAGCTACCTGGATGTCCAATCTGACCCACATGTTTGATATGCTGATTGCAGAGCTGCTTGAGCTCTCTAAGCCACAAGCTAACCCTGGAACAAGCCTCCACGAGCACAGAGCAGCGATTCCTGAGCTCTTCAGCTCAGCCTCAACACTCACTGTGCAGCCACTTTTTGCCCTCCCCCAGAACTCACTTGGCCAGAGTCTCAGGTTTGATGAGGATGTTGAAGTATGTTTTCTTCAGCTGCTCTGTTATCATTTCAAAAACTGCTGGAGTAAAGCTGAAGTCAGACAAGTAATCAATGATGAGCTGAAATAGAAGCTGTAAAGAAAACAGTTTGAAGTCAGGTTTTTTTGTTGTGGTTTTTTTTTTAAAAAAAAAAACCAATTAAAACAAACTTAATCCTATATAATAATAATAATAATCATCATAATAATATCATCATTATTTGGTCAATATAAGAGACATGCAGGCTTACTAAAGCACATTCCTCAATTCTGTTAGCTGTTCTTCACTAAACAATTCTATACCGAATTACAGCCAGTTTCAAAAGGACTGCATTTTTCAAAAGTGAATGAAATAAGCTCAATATCCCAAATCAATAGGAGTTTCCACATTCTACTGAAACAAACCTAGCCTGTAACTCCAACATTTCTGTATCAAATATTCCAGTTTTTCCTTCTACAGCTGACCAGCACAATGACATTACAACAGAGCACCATTCACGATTAAAAAAGAATATTCAAGACCACGCTATTTGCACCTCTGGCTTTTCCTGTTAAGCCTCACATTAATAAGCCTGACAGATGATTGACAGTCTTGTTAAAGCTCCAGTCAAGCTCTTGCAATGGAAGTCTAAGGAAGCTTGGCGGTTCTCTCCTCTTCGATCGCTACATCCTCTCTGTTTGTGCTTGCCATGTCTTACACGGCCAGCGTTTAGAAATGGGAACAGGGATCCCCCAATCCTCACAAGGTAAGCTCTTAGCAGCCCAACAAAGAAAAAGTGTACCCAAAATGAGTATGTTCAGAAGCTGTATCTCCAAAGTCAATTTGTAAACAAAACCAATTTTCAGATATACTTCTCCAGACGGCATGCAAATTCCCTTAGCTTATAGATGGGAGAGGCTCTAACACTCTAAAGGGACATGGAAGACTCATAGCTCTTTTTAAAGGAAAAGCTGTTAAAGTCTTAATGGAGATACAGTTATTAATTAAAGGAAGATTTCTCTTAAGTCAGCCTAAGGTCAGTAATTTGAGCTTATTTAAGTGAATAAAACTACATCTTTATACACCTAAGCACATGGAAAAGCATTTGCTGGATTATCCTGTATCTGAACAGACACAAATTTTCCAATTTAAAATACCCCATCTAAACATGCAAAGCTCCAGCCAGCTAGGCTCCAGCTGCTAGGACAAAAAGCACATACACTGAAAAGCAGCATGCATAAAAGTATTTAGAAGATCAGCAGTACGTACAGGTAGTTTATGATTGAATCCTTTCACTCGAATGACTAAGCCATGCTCTCCAGCTACTAGCTTGTATTCCAACTGAGCAACGTCTGCTTCATAAGCTGGTTCACCAAGATTGTGGGAAAGGATGTTTACAAATGTATCGAACAAAACTATGCTGGATGGAGAAAAGGGCAGAGGGTTAAAAAGAAAGAAAAAAAGGAAGGAATAGAAGATAGATAAAAATCAAGCCCAATGAGTTTGATGGTACACACAAGAAATTCTCCAACAGAAATGAATACTTGAGTAAAATGAGATTCAAAAAGAAATTTTCAACAAACCTGGAAATACAGAATGCAAGTTTCCCTTCGTCCAGAAAGCACATGACACTACTTAACAATTATTTTAACATTCAACTATTCTTTGCAATGAGTTACGATTCCAGCTTCACATAATTTAAGATTTCTTCAAGGTAGGAATGCACATTGTAACACGCCAATGCTCAAAACATTGAATAATCACAGAAAATGAGATTATTACACTTTGCTTAAAGGAATGGGGGACGGATGGACTCAGTTATGCTGAAGACTTAAGTAATGAGATGACCATTTAACAAGATAAAAAAAATAATAATAAGCTATAGCAAATCAGGCTACAGAATGTGGAAATTGCAGTCCGTGCTTTCAGATTTTTGTTATTGCCTGGATTCTGATTCAAAGTTCAAACTAACAAAGATGAAAACGGATTTATAAAGGCTTTCCCAAAACACTACTTGTGAAGGTCTCAGCAGGCTTATGATAAAAGCACTACGAAATTTCTTACAAATGGCAATGCTAGCCGAAAACTAGCAGAAGTGCAGCACGTGCAGAGCTATAATCTTGAGGTCTGTCTAACAGACAGTTGGTTTCTAAATGCTGCCGATAGTCTCTTCACCTGCTCTTACCAGGTGAATCCCAAGAGTTGCTGGTTCAGAACATAACTGTGGACTGCTCTTTTCAGGACCGACTCCTAATCCAAGCACTTCCGTCTGGTATGTGCACTGCTGCTGTTAGATTATTTTTTTCCAAAACTTGCACTGGGGAATAACGCACCATGAAACTCCTATGCATCTGTTTGCTACAGTAACGACCTGCTGCAGAACCGCCCTCGCCGAACTACAGATAAAACCATGAGGAAAGTGTGAGAAATGAGAAAAGGAAGCCTTATTCTATTCCAGTTTAAAATTAATCTCTCTTTGTGGTTTTTCACTAGGTACAGCAATTTAGTTACTCTGCAAGATAAGCATAAATAATGTAATCCTTACTTCTCTGCAGACTGCTGTATCAACGGAGAGATCAGATGGAACCGAACATAACCTGGTGGGGAAAAAGAAACTTAAATGAGCAACTGTATAAAAAGTGACATCCTTCTAAAGCCAAATATATTTCCATCAGGTTGTTCTTTGGTCACAATTTGAGTCTAATGAAAATAGTCATTCAGCTATAAGAATATATTTTTGCCTATATTAAGGCATCATCAAACATCTTCTCTTTTTCACTCCAAAATCTTCCCTTAAAAACACCAAATATTAGAAAACACAAAGCTGTGCTTTGCAGAATACTAACTCACATGGTGTGACCAATATAAATAAAAAAAGAAAACTCCACAAAACATGTTTAACAGACACTAAAAATTGTGACATTCTGCTTGAAAGCAGCAATGTATTTTCCACATTTGTCTCAGATCCAGGCTATATTTTTCTCTTTCTGTAGAACAGACTATAGTCTCTTCTAATTCATGTGTTCCTTCATTTTCAAGTCCTTGTCTCAGTATCATATTCTGTCTGCCAAATTCTGTCCACAGCCAAACACATTCAGAAGTCAGTATATTTCAGTGATTCCACTTTTTAACATGAGATATCAGCAGGGTTTCTTTGTTGCAAGGTAGTTTACCTACTTCTCTGTTATTGTAGCTAATAAACATATCAAAAGGACCACGGAAGACCTGACAGTAAACACTGAGTTTAAACGGTGAACACTATCACGGGTTATTTGCCTTCAAATCGAATCCAGCTGGTAAAATCAGGGACCTCCTATTCTTCGGAAAGCCCGATGGCGTTTACCTTTTGGGATTTTGAATTTATCATCCTTCCTGTACCAGAGACACCCTTGTTGAGTGCTTAGTGTTTTGACTGGATATTCTGTCTCAGGGCAGTCAGCAACTTTCAAAGCAAAGTCAGTGGCTAACAAAAAGAAAAAACAAACCAAACCCAGAATTTAGTAGGTTTCACAGACACAGCCAAGCTACATGCATGGAAGTTTTCAAAATTATCAACAAAATACATTTTTCCCCTCCCACTTTGCTAAATTACACACGATAATGCTTCCCTGGACCCAAAGAACATTTTTCAGTTCCACATCAGAATAGTGGCTCAGAAACAGTGCAGAAACGGTGATGCTGCATTCCATCCAGGATACAAGTTAGGGGTTTGTTTTCATTTGGTTTTGGCAACAAAGCCAGATGGTACTTAGATGCTTTCAAAAAGAGCAGGATTAAGCAAATAAAATTGCTCTTCTCAGGTGTCCGCAGCTCTATGTTAACTCTCACTGATTGTGTGAGGCCTGCTTTGTTATGGCTATATGATCTGTAAGTCTACACCTTAGAAAAACTCAGTTCTTATAAATAAAAGAATATTAAATAAAATTCAGGTGAACAGAGCTCCCATATTTTTTAACTTGCAAAACCAGGTTGATGTTCAGGTGGAAATTAAAGATTGTTTCTAAACCACAGAAAATTCTCAAAGAAATTATCGGGAGAAGATTTCACTCATGCTCAGGTGCCTTACCTATGTATTTGTTTTCTTCTGGAAGGTGTAAATCCTGATTTAACTCAAAGTCACTGGCCCATAAATCACTCCAGTACTTGTCAATATCTATTAAACAACATGAAATGCATTTAGTTCAACAGGAAGGTAATGCTATCCTATTTTCTAGACCAGCCATCTCATCTCTTAGCTACCTCCATGAAGATTTCACCATGAAGATTTGCAGTACAATAGGAGTTTCTTAATGTCACCTGGTTCATCATGAATCTTTCTAAATCCCTTCCTATGAACTCCCCCGGAATAGGACTGAAGCAGTTCTATTAAAAAGTAAATCACACCTGCCTGCATTAGTAGTCCAGCTACCAACATGCCCTGTCCTTGCTTGTGTTCTTTTCCCTGCTCAGGACTTGAATGGCAGCCAAGCGGAGGGCTCACTGGGATTCCTGCCTCCTAAAACAATTGTAAACTAAGGAGTGGGAATCAACTGATACCAAACAAAGAAGAACAATTACTGAGTAGGACAGAGCATTTGACTAATGATGAGGTCAGTTTAGTACTGGGGATTCATTTCCCTACTTCCCTGTGGTCGTATTTTGTGCTGTCACACTTTTAATACCTCTACTGCACGAATCAGACATTCTCTAAGTTTCTGCCGTTGTTTTACCTTCCACGCTGTATTGCGTTCCAAACCACCTCTCTTTTAGATGACACTGGCCTTCATTGGCAGCAGACAGCAAAACGAGGTTGGCTCTCTGAGGACTGAGCTGGTTAAGGGCATCAGCAATGATCTACAAGTTCAAGACAATACTTCAGTTCAAATGCAACTCTGGCTCTGCCTGACCCAGCAAAGACTTCTCAGTCTGAACACAGGAAGAACAAGACATAACAAGCTTACAAAAAGGGAGATTCGCTTTCTAAATATAAAAAGTGTTTCAATTAGTATAAAACCTGTGCCTGTATCATGCCTAATTAGAAATGCCTATATACATGCCTATATTATACATTATACAGTTTTGATTACATCAAAACATGTAATCAGAGTTCAAAGAATATTTACCTCAGGCTTGTATTCAAACAAGAGTTGGTCTCCTGTCAGAAAATCCTCCTTCTGAAACAACTGCATGTTCTCACAAAGGCTTTCCACGTAGTCAACTGGATCTGTCTGTAAGCAAATAAATAAAGCTATTTTTCACATAATCAGAAAACTAAAATATCAATTTTCTGTTCTGAGAAGAGCTTGACTGGTCAGGTATGTTGAGCACGAGTTGTATGCTGTGCTTGTTACGGCATTTAGTTTCAGTTATTAAACTAAATATATTTCATAACCATATGTAATGCTCAGGACTCCTCTGAGAATCCTGAAATATCAGACACATCATCTTTGTAGAAGACACCTTAAGCACGCAGTTTACAGTCATTAAACCTACTAGGTTAAAGACCCAGTAGAATGCACTCCTTGCCTCCAGGGAACACAAGCAGAGTCCTGCAATTCAAGATTTAAAGTGATCTGGAACCTGGAAAGAGCAAGCTAAGGAACTGCTGCTGCTTGCATGAGTATCTCTGATTCTGCTCCTTTCCTAAGTTCTCTGCCATGATGTACAGCATGAGGAGGAAGAGATTCTCCTATTCAAACATGAAAGCACAGATTGCCTTTTAACGGTGTAAGACTGCCCAGTGGAGAGCTTCCTGCTG